AAGTTCTATTGTTCATTGCCTTGCTGTGTATATATTGTGTGACATTTTTATCTTGACCTTGTAGTTTTTCACAGGCTGCCTAGAGCTTATACCCATTTTTTTCTTCCCATTTAGAAGGGTATCTTTGTTGAGGGGACTTTTCCTTCCTCAAGAGTATAGTGCTACAAAGGACTGGGGATGTAGTTCAGTGTAGAGTGCTTGCCTAGCATAAACAAAAGCCCTGGGTTCAATCCCCACCACTGTAAAAATGAACAGAATACCAGGCAAGGTGGCTTATACCTTTAGTCACAGCCAACAAGATCCCATGTCATAGGAAAACCTGAGAATGGTTGTATGTATCTGTCATCCAAGTTCTTTGGGAATGTAGGTGGCAGGGTCAAGGTGTAAAGCTGGCCAGAGCAAAAACTCAAGCCCCTATATGAAAAACAAACCAAGTATAAAAGATCTAGAGGTATGGCTAGAATAGTAGCAGACTTGCCTAGTAAGTACAAAGCCCAGTTTACTATCATCAAAGAAAGAAAGAGAAGAAATTTAGATTTAGTTATGTGCAGTGACCGCACCTTCCCATAGCCCCAGCTCTTGGGAGGCAAAGGCAGGAGGTGCCAATATAAAGTTCTGCCTTTATTGCAAAGTGAGAGCCTGTCTCCAAAACACCCCAAAATAGCAAAAGCAAAAAAAAACAAGAGCACATGAGTACGATCCGTTTGCAAACACATTGACCTCGTTATTCAAGTGAATATACATTTTCTATTCCCACCTCTAAGAATTTATTCTACAGATCTACTTGTAGATATGCACTGAGGACAAAAATCTAGAGTGAATTAATTATAAATGTCTCACCCTATGCACAGAGAAAAGAAGTTATGAAGCCTTAGAATACTGTGTGGCTCTTAGCTGGGCGCTGGTGGCTCACGCCTGTAATCCTAGCTACTCAGGAGGCTGAGATCTGAGGATCACAGTTCAAAGCCAGCCCAGGCAGGAAAACCCATGAGACTCTTATCTCCAATAAACCATTAGAAAACTGGATGGGACACTGTAGCTCAAGTGGTATAATGCTCACTGTGAGCTGAAGAGCTGAGGGACAGTGCCCAGGCCCAGAGTTCAAGCCCCACAACCAACAAAAATTTAAAAATAATAAAATAAAATACTGTGTGACTCTTTAAGAGAATGAAGCTGTTTCTACATTTAGACACAGAAGGATCTCTTAAGATACACCATCAAATACACAAAGCAAAGAACTAAGGTTTTCATATTATATTGTGTGGATTATGAATTTGTAGCTGCTCTGATTTATGAAAGGACTCATGACAATCTATTCATAGTGGCCATCTCAGCAAAGAAGGATTGTTGTTTGGGCATATGTGAGAGATTTCTACCTTTCTTTTATTTGTTGGCTCTTACCCTAAACATAAATATAAAATATAAGTATATATCTTTATCTCTATGTGTAGATAGATAGATAGATAGATGAGTAGGTAGATAGGTAGATAGAGTGTCCTGCGGCTCTAACTCAGGGCCAGGGCACTGACCTTGAGCTATTTTGCTCTAGGCTAGTGCTCTTCCATTTGAGCCACAGCTCAGCTTCTAGCATTTTGGTGATTAATGGGAGTCTCTTTGACTTTCCTGCCACTTCTGGCTATAAATTGCAGTTTGCAGATCTCAGCCTCCTAAGTAGATATGGGTCCTATGTAAGTATGGGTCTGAGCCACTGGTATCTGGCTAGAATATTTTATCATGACTATACTGTTTTAAATGTAAATTTAACAAAATCAACCACCATGGAGATTGTAATGCCTACTAGAGAGTTCCACAAGCAGTGCAAAAGCAGGCATATTATTGGTTTTGTACAGTGATATATACCCAGTGCTTAGAACAATGCCCTGAACATAGCAGATTTTTCAATAAATATTTAGTTTGAACCCTAAATATTTTTGTCTCCCCCATTGAGTTTGACCTTGTTAATTAATCTTCAAGTTAAATCACAAAGCCATGGTGGTTGATTTTCCTATGTGCCCTATACTTTTTCCCTCTATGTCATTCCTCACAATGCTACTGGCCAGAATCATCTGCTTTCCTCTTCTTTTTTTAATCCATTTGAAATCATTCACCTTTCTGAAGCTGACTCAAAACTCCAGTATCCAGTGAAGGTTTTCCTTTTTTTGCATAAATAATTCTAAACTTTAATCTTGCTTTCTTTTTTATTGTAAAGATACTATACAGAGGGGTTACAGTTACACGAGTAAGGTAATGAGTACATTTCCTAACGCATTTTTACCTCCTCGTTTATTTTTCCTCTACCATCCCTTCCTTCCCCACATTCCCAACTGCTCCCTCCCCTCCAAAGTTGTAAAGTTCATTTTCAATATAGTGAAGGTTTTTCTTAAACCTCCTGGGAAAATACTCTCTCCTTCATTTGTAGTCACATAGCGGTCTTATATATGGCAGGAAATCCCTCATGGTTCTCTATCCCTGTCCTTGTCACACATGAAGAATGCTGTGTGGTCATCAGCTCATTCCATTTTCTATTTAAATTTACAAGGTTATCTTTATGTAGTTGTACAAAAGGGATTCAGCATGTTGGTTATGAGTACAATGCATCTTGATCAGTATCACTTATTCCCATTCCTTATTTATTTATTTATTTTGTTGGTCGTGGGGCCTGAACTCTGGGCCTGGGTGCTGTCCCTCAGCTCTTTAGCTCAAGGCTAATGTTCTACCACTTGAGCCACAGCACCACTTCTAACTTTTTCTGCTTATGTGGTACTGAGGAATTGAACTCAGGGCCTCGTGCATGTGAGGCAAACACTCTACCATTGAGCCACCTTCCCAGCCCCTCCCAGTCTCTTTTTAATAACAGGATGTTCCTTGGATACTCCTCTTGCAGCCTTCCTCAGGTTGAGCCTCTTTCTTCTGCCCAAGCCCCACCTGGTTTCAAATAGATCTCCAGCCCTCCTTCTTATCAAATGTTTCCTTGATAATCCAGGCTCAGGGGAATTACACTTCCCTAGCTCTTACCACAATTTAACACCTGAGCACCATATTTGAAATGATTGGCATTAGACAGTTGCTGCTTAATTTTGCAACTATTAATGTTACAGACTTTGCTTGTAAGCAAGTGCCTGATAGTTTATGCACTAAAGAAAACAGAGCAAAGCATAGCATAGAGTCAGATTGTAAGAGCATCTTTCCATATCCAACATGAAGGGGGTAAGCAAGTGAAGGAAAAGGATTCCCCAGGATATAAAGCTCCTTAGGGAAGGACAAGGACCAGATTTTCTATGCTTCTGTGACTAGCTGTATTGGCAAAGAGAAAGCTGTTCTCAATAAGCAACTACACAATCTCTACCCAAATGCTTGCTCTAAGTAGCTTAGTTCACACCTGCTCCTCTTTCATTTATAGAAAGATCCAGTCCAGCACTTTCAATTCCAGGTTTGAATCTGAGGACCACTGTAGCTTAGTATAGAACCCCAGCACCCTCTTTCCAACCTCTGGCTTTCTCTCCTGAACCCAGCAACTTTAACCGCATCCCATCCTTCAACTAAGAACGTCTGAAAGGCTACTTCAGCTTCTTTTCCTCTGGCCATTACTACATAATAACAAACACATCTCTGGCTCACTCCAAATGACAAACTCAGAAGTTGTGGAGTCTACAAGTGCCCTAGAATGTGTCTGGACTTAGTTTTAGTGAGGTGAACATGAGCCCATTCAACAACAGCTTGTACAAATTCTAAACCAAATGTACCATCTAAATCAAACGTGAGTTGCTCCCTTCTTTCATTTTTATGGAGAGCTGAGCTTTCAAGGCTCTGTTGAAATTTCAGGGCCTGATGACATTCCAGAAATAGCTATCAAAGCTTCCAAAAGCCTACTTAATTTCAGCAATTGATAAATAGCAGAATATTTGCCTGAAGACAGCAGAGGGAAAACCAGAACAAATCCTACAGGATTACAGTACATGGAAAGTGAGGGATACAAAACATGAGCAGAAAAAATATCCTCACATTGGCAGGATGTTGTGTTGTATGATGGGTGGTTTTTACATTACCCAGATCACTAAATACTTCATTAAAAAAAAAAAGTCATATGCCATCCAGTGCAGTGTTTTCTATACAATCTGTCCTGTGGATGCCCTTCCCATAGCCATTTTCTGAGCTAGGAGGAAGCTTTCTCCATGACTTCCACTGCTTTCAGAAGCAAATCTCACCATTGACTATCTAAAAAATAAAAGTAAATCTCCTCCATAGCTTAACCCAGTACAGTGTGCATCCCAAAACTGCTTAGTATTCTGAGGTGTTTCTGAGGTCACAGGTAGAAAACATCTCTGCTCCCTGCCTGTCTGCTTGCTGTTTCTTTGTGACTCTGGCTCTTCAAACAGCAGCTGGTGAGGAAGCTTTCAATTTCTTTTGTGGTTTTTAATGGTGAAATACCCAACGCTGTGAGAAAGCCTGGCAGCCTGGCCGCCCCTCACTTGCCTCGTTGCCTTCTAGATCCGGGGCTTCTGAAGTTACAAAACAAACACAGCTAACAGCAAATGAACTCGGCAATGAATGAGGCTTCAGAAACCTCCGTACAACCTGGGTGAAGGGCATGGAAACCCAGGATCCAACCAGAAGGTCTTCAAGACTTGGTAGCAATTCTTGCAGATAAGCAGTCAGGGTTCCCTGTTACTTTCCTCCCATATACTATCAGTAGCTGGCTTGGCAGGGTTTAAATCTTAATTTCTCAAGGCTGAAAGTTCCCCTCTACTCTTTTGGCTCCTGTAGAACTGGAAAGTTTTGAGACGATGGTCCAATAATATTCTCTTCCCAAATCCAAATGATTTCAGAAACAGTTCCTGTTTCGTCTCTCTCTTTCTCTCTCTCTTACATGACAAGTCTATATATATCATTCTATTTATTTTCATTTTAAAGTCTGCTCCCAGCTATGGTATTTGTTTGCCCTCGGAGCTGAAGCTGACAGTAAACCAGGGAGGAAAAGCCAAGAAGAGATGTGCACTCACCGTCCTCTGTACCACTAGCACCATGATGGTTGCCACTGTGACGACCAGACACAGAACCAGCACGGCTGTGGTGAGGTAGAAGTAGCTGCGGCTTGTGGCTCCCCAGTGGCCGGCCACCGAGCCAGGTGGCACCTGCATGGCTGGCTGAGAGGAAGGGGTCCTGCGGAAGGGTGCTCGCTGCAGCCCTGGTTCCATGCTTTATATAGGCAGCCCCGCATCACACCTTATCTCTCTCCTCATCAGATTCGGTTCTGGGCCCATCTCAGTTCCAAGGATTTTCCCCCTGCATCCTGGATCATGTGACTTGGAAAAAAACCTTCACCCTCTGCTTGGCGGAGCAACCCTTTTCTGGGGGTGTGAGGCAAAAGGAGGCAGCAAGGGTGGGGGAGAGGTTCATTTTCATCTGCCAGAATTTGATTTGAGTGCAGAGAAACAGGGAAGGTGGCTGATGTCAGAGGACACGCGTAGGAAAACGACAGTTCCCCGTGTGTGTGTGTGTGTGTGTGTGTGAGTGTGTGTATGTGTGTGTGTGTGTATGCGTGTGCGCGTGCATGAAGCTACTTCTGTTTCGGTTTAGACTCAGTCACAAAACTCCTTCCTGCCCAGAGCCTACACATTGCATTCAGGAGGCCTAGGGCTCAGGGGACCTGGTGGATGAAGTTACTTATCTGGGTTTGGGTGAGGCTACATTCTCTGGACCACAGTAGATTGGACAAGTTGTTTGAGAATGATCCCTTCTTAAAACTGGAAATGCCATCCATTCTCTGGGTAGGAAAAGCCCACAAATGCCCAGATATATTAAAAGGGGAAGAGACTGGCACTATGAAATTGGGGATAAGGGGATACAGGGGAAGAGGGCAGGAATCTGGAAATCCAGTGCTTTTAAAATCTGCAGTTTTACACATTGTTTCTATTAAATGCTTTTGAGAATCTGATTTGCCTTAACACTCATGAAAAGGGGAAGGAATTAGCCTGGAGGGTGGGGTGGGGAGGTGGTATGCAGTGAAATGTCTGTGGGGTGTTTGTGGGGGATGTTATATGGGGTTGGTGTTCATGTGATGTGATGATGGTGGTTTGTGATGGTTTGTGTGTGCATGTGACTGTTAGAATTGAATCACCATTTTCAGACTCAGTCCTGGGCATGTACAAACACACAATTCCACTCGACCGTCTTCTCTACCTTCATTTCTATTCTCCCAGGCAGGCTGCATTTTTTCCAAGGGAAAAAGGCTCAGCAAGGATAAATACACACCTCTCAATCAAAACTGCCAGTGTTATTGATGATAGAACATGGCTGTATCAACCATCCTGGCCAGCCCCCAAACCTACATGAAATCTTTTGATCTGTACTCCACAGAAAGGCTGAACAGCTGAGAGCCTGTCTTAGCTTTTCCCTGTTTTTGTTTTGTATTGAATAGGTCACCATGGCCCTTGTGTTACAGTCATCCTAAAGATCAAGGAGATGATGTAAGAGTGCTTCATGAATGGGAATAGACTTGGCAGCTTCTGTTGGACAATTCCAGTTAAACATCCCAAAGTGGTCCCCTGGGCCACAGCTGGAATTCAGATATAGTAAGTGGATTGCCTGGGACCCAGAGCTGAGTCACATCTGTGGTGACTAACGGTCTCTGTTCAAACATGGTTTGAAGTAGTGATCACTGCCTAGAGAAATGTTCATTTGTTATCATCCTAAGGGCTGCCCATCATTGGGATCCTTCCCTTTAAGCTTTCTGGTTTCAGTCTGTCATTGTGAGCCACTGAAGATTCCAGGATCCCCTGAGAGAATGAATGCCCTGGATCCTGAGCCATGCTCAGATTTAGGTCATTGATGTCCTCATGGAGACCCCCTAGCTTCTGAGCATCTCCTGAATTAGTTTGGACTTTGGAGTCAGTCTAGATATCCTTCCTAGTGATGTGACAAGATCATAAATCCTGTTGTAAGAAGAGGGGGTTGGAGACGAATTGATGAATTGTGTTCTTGGCTTTCATAAGTGGTGGATTTATAGTCAAGGTAGCTGAAATCCCCTGTATCCAAGCTGGGCTTGTTTTTTGAAGATGTGCGTTCACTCAGCCAGGTTGTGGGGGTGAGAGGGAGGCAAGCCTGGGTGTGTGTGTGGGGGGGTGTACCTGGTTGATGGAGGTCTGGTGGGTATGGACACTGAGTGGGTGGCAGGGATCTGCAGAACTCTCATCTGCCCAGAGCTGCTGAGAACAGGCTGCCTCCTCGGCCCTCTCTGTTTAGTCACTTTGATCAAAGTGGAAAACTTCTGATAGTTGAATGGAAGCTGTGGGTGTTGAAAAATAAAAAGGTTTTGCTTGAAGTTAGGTCTTCCTGAAGGCCTGCGGGGCTGAGAAGGGCAGTGGAAAAAAATGTTTGTCTTACAGTTACTCGTTTTGCATACAGCACAATGGCCTGGGAGGGAAGGCTGACATGGGGGAAAATCACCCCTGGCTCTTACTCAGAACCTTCTCAACAGTTGAGATTTTTCAGATCGGGCTCTAGTGTTTTGTGGGTCTAATTTTACTCCTTTTGCCATGGTGCTCCTCTATTCACAAGCCTTCAAGGGCTCCCTACTTCCTACTCCTATTATAAACTGCAGCTTTCAGAATCGGACTCAGAATTCCACACGCAGTGCTCATTCCTTTCTCTCTTCTCTTCAAGACGCCCCATGTGCCAAATGGACAGAGTCTTTGTAGTTTCTTGTGATGTGACTTACAAACTTGCTGGAAGCAAACTGCCCAGGGAGGAGGGTAAAGACCAATAGCCGACTACAGAGGCTGCGCAGGAACGAGGGCCCGGCCTATCTCTCTCCCTCCCTTACTTTTTGTCTTGGAGTTGTTCCACGATGCAAACAGTTTGGAAATTTGTGATAGAATCTTAACTTTGCACTTTTCCGATGAAGGACATGAGACACAGAAGTGGGAGTAGCTTGGAGCTCACACAAGGAGGGGGAGACCTCGTTTGTTTTGCTGCTTATTCTTAGACCTCTCTGTGAAAATTGTACCCTCATTCAGGCTTCCTTTCATTTTTCCTCTCACATTCCCAAGCTTGCACACTTCCTTTGTTGTTTCCCCTACTTCTCCCTGTCCAGGAAAGCCTTCCCAGCCCTCCACCACCACCATCACGCCTGGAGTTCCTCTGTGTGCCTACTGGGTGGGAGAATGATCCAACTCTCTACTTGTCTCAGGAAGGTGAACACATATGGGCTTTGCCTTCCTCATTAGGTGGAGTCCCTGAGTACAGCCTCCACCTTCTCAGTCTCTCTTCTGTCGCGAATGGTCAACCTCACAGTGTTTCTGTTGACTTGGCATTTATGAAAGAAGAAAGTTCTAGAAGGAGTGGCTCCTGCAAAGGATGTTTGGAATGCCATTTCTGTGTCTGTCTTCTTGCCTGCACTCTGCTTCCCTCGTCCTTCCACACACAGTATATCTGGCTGCCTAATAGTCCTTGAGTTCCAGCATGCCTTTGTGAGATGGGTCATTAGCCTTCTTCTAGCCGATAAATAGTTGCTATTGCTAAGGTGTGGCCCTACGTGTGCCATTTGATGGACTGATCCAACTAATCCTCCCTTTAAGAGAGAACCCTGTTCTGAAAATAATAGAGAGGAATCATCTTTCTATAGCCTGCTTTATTACTTCCTTTATACAATGGATAGAGGGACTTTTATCATATAAGCAAGCAGTTCCAAAACATGGTTTCTGGACCAGTAGCAGCAGCATCACTTGGCCACATCAGAGAACTTCAACAGCTTCTAGATCTTACCATTGTGTAGCTGAGAGCACTGAGTTATAATGAAGTTACACTCTAGGATCCTGTAACTGGGTTGTGTTGTTAGGAAGATCCTGTTTCTGTATTTTGATGGAGCCATATTTTTCAATCCATTTATGGCTGCAGGCTCCAAAAATACATCATATGTACAGATGGAGATGAATTTGGAGCAAAGTGATCTTAGTTTCATGCACCTAAAATTCTCTTGTCTTATTATTGTATGTGGTAAGAAGGAATATTGCAGCAAAATGACTGGTGTACGTAGAAGGGAACAGACTCACCTAGGGTTGTATTTAAACAATAAAGAATGCAGCTAAGCTGTTTTGTGAGGATATAGGGCCTTATTCAATTATAACTGGAGAGCCATTTGTCTTGGCCATGGCTAAATGGAAGCGATTGGACATTGGAGTTGAACCGTAGTGACACTTCACAGAGAGGATTCAGTAAAGTCAGGGGGAAAGATTTGGAACAGGATCAGTAAAGTGTGATCCTTGGCCATGTTAATCACCTATTTTTAATTAATCAGTTTTGATTGAAACACAATCATGGACATTTGCTTATGGCTCTATTTTCACTACAATGGCATAGATGAGTAGTGACAATAGAGACATAGCCCATGAGATCTGAACATTTTTACTCTTGAGCTCCTTACAGAACCTTTTTGACTCTGATCTACAAGACTAAAATAAAGACAATGAAAGGAGTTTGAGGAAAATAAAAGAAGTTTGTTTCTTATGTCTTCTTTAGGAAATCTTCATTTTTGTCTACATTGCTAACTTAGGCTTTCATGTAAGAAGATTCTTTTTAGGATTCACTAAGTGGAGAGAAGTCACATGTAGATTATGCTTTTGGTGTGTGCCAGAATCAGACTCCTGGAGAGGACATGGGAGCTGAAAGGGAAATAGGAGCAATGTTTAGATTGATGTACTTTTAATACTAGGTGGTTGTGATCTTTCTCTGTGTCTATATCTTTATTTATGAATACAGAGCTGTAAGAATGAAACCATTAATATAGATAAAAGGTAGAAAGGCTGAGAGTAAAGTCACTAAGAAATCCTGGTTGGTGACAGTTTTAGCAGTTAAGCATAACATGTATACCTATGAGTTTCCTGGTAACCAGGACAAAGAAGAAAACACATTGTATTGCCTAACTCTCCGGTCATAAAAAGTGGATGAGCTCAAGAGGAGAAATAGATACTTTGCTGCATGAACAGGTACATTGAAATGCATAACATATTTTGAAATCTATGAATTTAAAGTATGCTCCTGCAATACATTGGGATAAAATCTTGACAAGTGAAAAATCTTGACAAGTGAAAATACTGTAACATTCAAAAGCAGGTGTGATTTTGTAATTTTCCATCACTCCTAACTAATGGTGAAAATGGGAAAAGTAATAGCAGAAAAATAACATTACTTTCCTGAC